ATTTGACCCATGAAGCCTTCGGAATCCTCCGTGTAGGCGTCACGTATATGGCAATAAGTATCAGATTGAGGCCAATGATGCAATTTGAATAATAAATAAAGATATGACTATAACTGAGGACTACTAGTCTGGTCAACAAGTTGAAAAACATAAAAAATAGATATAAAGCTCCTAAAAATATGAGCGATAGCTCATTGGATTCGGAATGACCTCTAAAAATAAATTATAAGGGCTTATTAGCATGGGAAAAATTGCAATTGTAGTGTATTAGCAAAATAAGATGAAAAAACATTATCCAGCTTTCTGTTAATAGCACAAAAACTATAAATATGTAAGGAATTTTGGAAATTTCCAATAAAATGTCTTCACTCCTGAAACTCTATCTCCATTATTTATAATTTTAATTTAACGCTGAAAATAGGGCTCCGCGTGCCCTCGCGTCGCCGCTAGAGAGTACACCAGATAAAATATTTTATTGTTAAAAAAAAAGAAAACTTTACCCCCCATAGTAGGATTTTATGCTGTATCGTGGAGGTGGTTTACATACATAAATTGCAAAACGACACACATCCAGACCCGGAACAATTATTTGTAAGCCATAATAAACACTTGCCTACATCCATTGTGGCAGTCCGACGGCCTTAAAACCCCCGCAGAAACAATAGGTGGTCTGTGCCTAAAAGTGGGGCATACGAGTAAATAAGCTATTACTTACAGTCTATATACGTCTCACTGCTGGGCACAGGCCTCCTCTCATTTCTGAGAGGGTTTTAGGGCAAGGAAATATCCGCTACCCAAATGCGTGTTGGCGAACTTCACATGTTACCGAAATATATATTTTTTTTAATTCTTAGACATGCAGGTTCCCTCACGATGTTTTCCTTCACCGCAAAGCACGTGTTGTCCTTAGAATTGCAATTAACAATTTCATTGGTGTCGGCGGGGATCGAACCCGGGTTGCTCGCGTACTGTGAAACTTACAAAAAGCGCTAACCATCTGAGCTACCACGGCTCAAATAAGCTATTACTATACCCACAATTTGGCAAGTATGTATGTTGATCGCCGATTTCCGTATTTGTCATACTTTGTCGTAACAGCTTATTATTTCGCAGCCGTTGTTGATCAATCGGCACTCGGTTCAAATCTTGTTTGTAAATATTTAAGAGTCAACATTCATAGTGATTTTCCACCGTTTTTCGGGCCATTTCATCAGAGCGAAATATGTAACCAAACAAAGAGAGGTCTATGTTATTTTCAAGGGTATACTTGATAGCTCAGTAGCACCGCGACTATGACTCAGACATTTGGCTGCGGTGCTGCGGGCCGCGGATTCGATTCCCGTTATAGACAAGTTTAAAAAGCACGGAATTTAAAATCTCATACTTTTATTATCCGATCAGTTTATACATGGAGATGGTACGGAGATGGAATATTTCTAGTTTTTTTTTTATAGAATAAGAGAATTAAGAAAAGATAAATTCGAAGACATGTGAAGTTCGCCCATACGCCTTGGAGCAACGTGGCAGACATTTCCTTGCCCTAAAACCGTCTCAGAAATGAGGGGACGCCTGTGGATGCTGTGGCCTATAAACATCTACATTTATTCTCAATTAAAAATCAAAATGCAGATATGTTATCACCCCTGAAGATGAAGATGGAATACCTCATTTCCAGTAAAAAGGGTCTCCGGTTCTCTACTGCACCAACCATATGACACAACAGCATTAAGCTTCTATTTCAAGCTGATATTGTGTACGAGCGTGGTCCTTTCCCGAGTGAGGTGTGAGCCGATCCGTTGGTACTAAAACGATAATATTGTTGCAACATGCCCCTACCACGTGTTAAATTTAGTACGCGGGGTAACTTTTCATTAAAGTTAAAGAAAGTATATTTGATAGATCTATAATATATGAGAACTTAAAAATATTTTTAAGACATGTTAAGTAGGTTAACAGTTATTGAGGCAGCGCCTACGTGTTAGGCCCATGTCTATTAGTGCAATTCTAATGATTCCAAAAGAAAAAAGAATAAATGGAACTTGACGAATAGAAAATATATGTATTGAAAATTTATCACGGAAAAATTAACACGATCCATCAATCCCTTGCGTGCGCACTGCTAAACGACTTTTTCTATATAAAACAAAGTACACTTTCTTATCTCCAAGCGGTCAATAAATGATGAACGACCGTATTACAACCGACAAGTGTTCCAACGGCCCACCTAGCTGACACAATAAATTGTCTCAATCCGCTCCGGAGAGCTCACAATTTATGTCATCACATACAACTACAGGGTGGCCCATAAGTCCCTTGAAATGTAAAAAAATAATTAAAAAAAAACTAATGACATTATGAAAAAGGTTTTTATTTTGTCATAATCCTTATAAAATGGGAATCATTTTTTGAAAATTACATCATCTAAATGTAATCCCTTACGATCGCGGCACTCCTGTAAGCGACGTTTAAAATTATCCATCACTGCGTGGCAAGTAAGCTCTGTAATATTTGCCATTTCTCTTTGGATATTTTCTTTCAGGACGTCAATTGTCCGCGGGTTGGTTTCGTACACTTTAGTCTTAAGATAACCCCATAAGAAAAAGTCCATTGGGGTCAGATCTGGACTACGTGGTGGCCAAGGAATATCTCCTCTTCGAGAGATCACTTTATTAGGGAAAAGTTGACGGACGACCGGCATAGCGACGTTAGAGGTATGGGCAGTTGCTCCATCTTGTTGAAACCAGGTCCGCGTATTGAAGCCTGGAAAATTCTGCAACTCTGGTGTAAAAAAGTCCTGGATCATAGCTACATACCGTTGTGAAGTAACAGTAAGCGCGCGGCCTCTGCCGTCCTCAAAAAAGTAAGGGCCTATAATGCCATGCGCTGACATAGCCGCCCAAACTGTCACTTTAGGGCTATGTAAGGGCGTTTAATGTTTGCGATTTGGATTTTCGCAACTCCAGTAGCGACAATTTTGCTTATTGACATGGCCGTTGATGTGAAAGTGAGCCTCATCAGAGAATAACACGTTATTAAACGAAGTAAAGCGGTTCAACATTTCATTTGCGAAATTTAGTCTGTGGATAGTGTCAGTATCTTTTAATTCCTGTACTAACTGAATCTTGTACGGGTGAAGATGTAAATCTTTCTTTAAAATTCGCTGTAACGATGTTCTGGGTAAGTTTAATGCACTGGAACGCTTACGAGTAGACTGGGTAGGATTTTCACGAATTGAGTGTTTCACTACATCGATGTTTTCTTCCGTCCGTGATGTCCTTGGTCGACCTGACCGTTGTTTATCCAACGTCGAACCACTCTCTTCGAACTTAATAACCCAGTTCTTAATCGTTTGAACACTTGGAATGTCTTTAAAGTTGCGTAAATTCTGATATTCTCGAAATTTACGCCGCGCAATGGTAGCCGAATCATTGTTTCGATAAAACTCGCGCACACAAAATGCACGGTCCGCACCGGTGAAACGCTCCATGGCGACTGAATTCCCAGAAACCGTCGGTACTCCCCCCGCACCGCGCGCGCCACTCATGCGCGCCTTTTGTATTTTATTCGAAATTTACATTTCTAACGACTTATGGGCCACCTTGTATAATATAGGTGCAGCGTGGCTCTACCACGTAACAAAAATTACGTCGTATTCTTTTACGTCGCCACCACATACAGCACACTTATGATGATATAATAAACTCGCGTCTGTCAATAAGCGCCACGCGGCGACTAGCCAAAAAATGTACAATGACACGTTTATAAACGACTTCACTAAACTTAGCGCCAAGGAATCTCTACTGACCTGAATAATTATTATTCGCAAGAACACTTCAGGTTGGCCTACTACACACAATTGCGAGAAAAATCTAAAGAAAAATATCGCTTAGGACAACAGATTATATTGAAATATTTTGCTCCACGTCAAAGAACATACAGCTGATGAGAAACGCCACATTCCGGGCAATCTACCATCTCCAAACATATCCACGACCACACCTACCATTACATCAGATTTAATAAACCACAAATCTTCACAAGAAACAGATTCCAATGACGATTTTTTTATAGGATAATGGTGACAAACGAGCACACAGTCCACCTGATGATAAGTGGTTGCTGTGGCCCCTATACATCTACATCTATCCTCGTTTGCGAACCAAAATGCAGATGCGTTGTCACCCGTGAGGACTAAGATGGAATGCCTCTTTTCCAGTAAAAAGGGTCTCCGGTTCTCTACACTCACCATACGAAACACAGCAGTGTTAAGCTGCTATTTTACGCTGGTATTCTGTGAGAGCGTGGTCCTTCCCCGGTCGAGCCGACCCATTCGTGCTACAACTATACTACTAATATAGCTGCAGCATGGCACTACCACGTAAAAAATTTGTGAAACGTTCGAAAATTCGCGTACTTTGGAATTTACGGCGGGCACTTAACCATTGAGTTACGTCGGCCCTGAATGGTAACAGACCAATTAGTTACAGCATACTAATTTAGTCACCTGTGATGACCAAGATAGCCTTCTTTTTTTAAGTTGCTGATGCTCATTGGTTTTAGCCACGTCCCATCAGGAGGACGTTAATTTCGTCAAGACCGAATTTTAGTAACGACTTAATAAAACAATATTTGGTTCGTTACCGATTTAATAAAAAAATAGTTATTAAAATCGAACATAAACAAAGAAGTTATTCGCAAACATACGTAACAAAATATATATTATTATAATTTCATAGACGGCTTCGTGACGCAGTTGCTTAGCAATGAGTTGCTGCGCTGGGGGCCGCGGGTTCGAATCCCGCAAGGAACAAGTATTTGTATGGCCTACAAATAATTGTTCCGGGTTTGGATGTTTGTCCTTGTGCAATTTGTGTTTGCAAACTGCCTCTACGATACAGGAGAAAATCCTAGTTTGGGGGTAAAGTTTTTAAAAAAAAAATTTCAAAATCATTATATTTAACAGATAAAAGTTATAGAGCAAAAAGTAGTAAAAATCTTACCTGGTAATATTGTCCTGCCTCTCTCTAATATTCTGTAGTCCTACGGCGTCTCGCAGCTGCATTACTATCGCGGCGCGCACTGCCTCCGCACATCTATACTCCTCGATTCTCTCCGATAACACCTGTTTAAAATAAATAACAATGTACTTTGTAGTGGCGCCGTAAGACAATCCACTACCACAAGTCTACCAGCGGGTGACTTGTGGTAGTGGATTGTCAGAGAAGAACACTCTATTTTATACGTGGTAGAGCCATGCTGCAGCTATATAAGTAGTATAGTTGTAGCACGAATGGGTCGGCTTGGCTGGGGAAGTACCTGTGTTTCGTATGGTGAGTGTAAAGAACCGGAGACCCTTTTTTACTGGAAAAAGGCATTCCATATTAATCCTCAGGGGTGACAACGCATCTGCATTTTGATTCTTTACTGAGAATAGATGTAGATGTTTATGGGTCACAGCAACCACTTACAATCAGGTGGAATATGTGCTCATTTGTCACCCTATCCTATAAAAAAAAGCAGGAGATAGGCAGTAGCATCATCCTGATAACGACTCAAAATAACTACGAATGTAAAAAACCCCCTGCCTAACATTTAAGGCAAAATCGCTTCTATAAGACAACTATAGAGGTCAGTATTCCACAGAGGACTTTAATAGGCTGTAATGGATAGATATTTATAAAATAATATTAGTGTTAATATAATAATATTGATTGTTTTATATGTAGACTCTATTAAAAAAATCAATGGATGAGGCATATGTTTAGGATTGCACTGTTATAGGCTCTAATGGATGAACCTTCTAATTTTTAACCTCGTGCAACCTTAGTATTACAGATAAAAACTGAAGTGCGGTAACACGTAGTTCTAGCCGGCTAGAACCAGATGAAGCCAGCAGTAGTTGGTTAAATTTAGATGTAATATTAAATATATAGAAACACGGATATACGTATCAAGTAATATCAGTGACAGGAGGTCCAAGGGCCACACCATCCGCACCTTAATCTCAGAACCGGAGACATTTATCTAATATATAAATTATATATGATACACCTAAGTTTAACCAACCGCTACAGGCTGCACCTAGTAGTAACTGGGTAGAACTAGGTGTAACCGCACTTCGGCTTTTAGCCGTAACACTTATAATTATTGTTATACAGTTAGGTACATCGTAGTATTGTTCAGTATTTTCCAACAAGTATAAAAACAGCGTTACAGAATGTCTTTGTAACAGTATTCTTTTAATATAACACTCAACGGTTGCCAAGCATAACAGCTAAAGCAATAACAAACCAACCAATCTATGATGGAGGCATTGACCTATAACTGGATGAAAATGAAGCAACCATTTCAATATAATTTTGGCTTCTTTTGTAATTGAACCTTACGTTAAAATATATCAGTGTATTTTTTTTTCTTTTGAAAATTATTTCTTGAGACGGGTCACAATTTTTGCAAAGTTTATAGCTTTACAGTGTTTTTGTTTAAGAAATCAGAAACTTTGTTGGTCGACTGAGCGCTACGTACATTTCAAGCGATGCCAGAATCCGGCCATGCTTGCCAACATCTTGACATGCACTCACACACACATCTTTCTTATTTCTATATCAGCCCGTTGAAGTTCACAGGTGAACGCACACATATGCTCCTTATTCATAATGTGTACGTGAGTGCGTGTTGTTACAATAAGGTTTAATTTTTGCGTTACTTGAAATGTACGCAGCGCTAAGCTTTTCTTTCCTTGTTGGTGTAAGTTGCCATAATTAAGGTTTAAAAAAAATGACGTCTGAGCTCGATCTTTCATGAAAATCAAATGATTTTTACAAGTATACAGAACGAAATTCTTTTCGTCTACTACAAAGACCAATTAGTCGCTTTTAATATTTCCATCTTACAAGTTTGCTACGAGAAGTTCAGATTGTACAACAAAGCTTTGTGTTTTTTTGTTTTCAAAGTTCCTTTGAAGTTTTATATTTACGTTATTTTTCATATACGATAACGAAAATAAAGGTATGTTAAGTACTTTTTCTAAATTATTGTAATTATTACTGCCCATCAAACGATTACTGCTGAGCATAAGTCTTCTCCATAGAATTCCTCATAGATGGAATATTTTCCCACAGTTGACACGCTTAGCTTAGGTCGACAACCGCAATTTTTTATTATTTCAAGGTGTTATGAGGAAGATGCTGTTGTCCATCTCCTGTTACATTGAAAGGGGCAAATAACACCTCTTACGACACCCACGGGACAAGACGGGGACTATTGTTATGGTATGACAAAAATCAATCATTAAATAATGCTTCAAATATATTTACCTCAACATCATCCGAATACAATGGTGAATTCTTGAATACATCCTTCTTGACCACCGCAACATACGGTCCTTGAACACCGCCAATAAATTTCTCGCAATTAAAGAACAGTGCGTCTTTCCTCACCATGCCTTCTTCGACACCAAGAAAGGTGGGATTCATATCAACATTCGAAGTGGGAGCAACGAGGGTGTAGTCCCAAAAAGACCACGCTCCGTATTGATGAAGTAGCAGAGTTGTAGCTACATCATCTGCAAAAACTCCAGTTAATTTTGAGGCGGCTGGGAAAAACCCAATCATACGCTTTCCAGTTCCAGAATATTCTTGCAGTCTTAGCTCTAGATTATTCAAGTCTATGAACCCCTCCTTCGATTCCGGGATCTTGATTATCTGGAAAGATAAATTCATATTAGTATTCTGTCGCAGGATTTGTGATTGCATTGTTTCGATGGTAATATATTCAAACATTATCGATAAATCTGTAGTTTGCGAAATATTTCTGACTACATTTTACTAGGTTCGACTTCTTTTATATCGATTGTATATCGATGATTATATTTGGCGAAATTAGTTAAATACCGCGCATTTTATATGTTGATACTGTCACCATTATTAATATTATTATCACAGTTAATCTAAGTAAAAGTAAAAAGTAAAGTCCCGCCACTGAGTACAAGCCTTATTTTTATCATAATTTTTACTTTTATTGTAAAATTAAAATCTCTGCCAAGGGGCCAGCAGCTGGTCGACTTCATGGAGAAAGAGGGACTCTTTATGATGAACTCTTTCTTCCAGAAGCGGCCCCACAGGAAGTGGACCTGGTCGAGCCCCGACGGTTCGACAAAAAATGAGATTGACTTCATTATGACGACCAGACGACAACTGTTCAGTGATGTCTCAGTGATCGCAAAGGTGAAAACCGGCAGCGATCACCGAATGGTTAGAGGCACACAGAACCTAAACGTTAAGTTGGAGAGGTCTCGTCTAATGAAGTCAACGCTCCGTCCCCCTCGTGCTCTAATCCAAAGTCCCGAAACCTTTCAGCTCGAGTTACAAAACCGTTTTTAGTGCCTAGAAGACTGCAATGAAGTGGACGATATGAATGACAAGCTCATGGAAACTGTCCATGCGGTCGGAGCTAAGTTCTGCAAAACCCGCCGCAGAAGAACACAAAAACTTTCCGATCACACTCTTAATCTCATGGCTGTTAGACGGGAGATGAAGCTACATTCTTCAACAGATTTGACAGCATACAGGCAACTAAACAGACGGATCTCCAAATGCATGCGGCGGACTTACGCAACTTCAATACAGCTCGTATTGAAGAAGCGATCGAGCGGAACCAAGACTCCAAAGTCTTTACCAGAGATCTGTCTGCCAGAAAGAGCCAACTGTCAAAGCTGAAGACAGAATGTGGCAGCATCGTTTCGTGTGAGTAACGATCCAAGAGCGAGTCTTATCCGACATTATTCCGATGATATCCCGAACGTCAGTCTGAGCGAGATTAGAATGGCTCTCCAGCACCTTAAAAACGGCAAGGCCTCAAGTGAGGATGGAATTACAGCGGAGTTTCTCTGCGTGATAAACTCAGAGATGAGGATATCCGCAGTAGAACCAGAGTGACCGACATAGCCCAACGGATTAGTAAGCTGAAGTGGCAATGGGCCGGCCATATAGCTCGAAGAACCGACAACCGATGGGAAAGAAAGGTTCTCGAGTGGCAGCCTCGTACCGGCAAGCGAAGTGTTGGGCGTCCCCCCACTAGATGGAGTGACAAGCTGGTAAGATATGCAGGAAGTCGATGGATGCAGGTGGCTCAGGACCGTGCTTTGTGGCATTCCTTGGGGGAGGCCTATGTCAAGCAGTGGACTTGTGAAGGGCTGTAATGATGATAATGATGATGAAAATCTCCGTGTTATTAATTTTCATTATAAAATAAGTTTTGAAGTTATAAAAGCAAATACGCTGATAAATGATTTAAAATGAATTACATTATAAAAGAAAGCATAAAGTAAATAAGAATTTGCCGTATGGTGGACGTATTAGAAAATTCATGACCTCATTTCGTGTCATGGGTGAAGTAAATCTAATATATAAATATTTATGTTTGTTTGTTCGTATTTAATGCGGTGCCACACCGTTCATCAGACTTATAGCTAGTACATGCGCGAAAGTTAGTGCAATTATATTACAATAGGTGGCGCGCATGTTGTACCGAAAAATGTATTAAAAAGTCATATATTCTTTAATTTCAATTAATGTATAATCATTATTAATTAAAAAACATAATTCTTCCAAAGAAAGATGCCCATTTTTCACCTATGTATAGAAATGAAATAAATGTTAAAATTCACTTCTATTCAATTCATTTCTTTTAACGCTTATCACAATGTTAAAAGAAACACAGGAAAAAATATTTTTTAATATTTATTTAAGCTTATTCTACGTCAAGGGTTTGAACGCCTCTCAACTACCCTTTTTCTAGGACGTTCTATTTTACACATAAAATGATGTTTAAAAGTCAGAAACAGAGTTCAATTGAGTCAAATAGTAGTGTTTTATTTAATCATGCAGTATGTCATTGAGTGTGCACGAGTGAGACGGATTTTTTTGACATTTGCCAGTTCTATGATAGGCATCGGCGCAGTCCTTCGTTGTTGCCAAAGAGAATATAATCACATGATGCGTTTGCCTCTCGTTGTGTATTGTGCCATTTTGTGTTTTTCATGGATTATATAGAATAGAAATATGTAGGGATACACAAGGTTTTTCTCAGTATAATCTCAGAGGAAGTAGTGATAGAACATTAATAAGACATAGATAAATTAAGTATTTGGTAACGGCAAATTCTAACCTAAAGAGTAACATTAATATTTTTGGGCTTCGTAGCGTAAAAATCTCTACATGACATTATTTTTTAAACTTACAGGAAGTTTTTTTTACTATACCTTATACTATACAAAAACTATACATAAACTTTTACTATCAGGTTTTTTAATGTATGAAAAGTGGGCATGAATCTTTAAAACGATATTTCCACAATTATTTCCTCTGCGGCAGCAATGCACAATAACGGGTAATAACTCATGAATTTCGGTAGATGGCGGTATGGTCATACGTCAGATGGTAAGAAACTGGGACTTGGAGCAGTACAAAAGGTATGAAACGTCTGATACAGCCGTCGAAAATCTGGCTGATTAGCGTGGTTTTATGGCAATAACTCCCTAAAATGAGAGGCCCACGTTTAACAATGGTCTTTTTTGGGTTGAAAAAGATGATGATAAAAAAAGAATAGATATTAAGCCCTTCCCTGTCCCGTGAATCATTTACTATAAGGTTTTTTAATGTATGAAAAGTGGGCATGGATCTTTAAAACGATATTTCCACAATTATTTCCTCTGCGGCAGCAATGCACAATAACGGGTAATAACTCATGAATTTCGGTAGATGGCGGTATGGTCATATGTCAGACGGTAAGAAACTGGGACTTGGAGCAGTACAAAAGGTATGAAACGTCTGACACAGCCGTCGAAAATCTGGCTGATTAGCGTGGTTTTATGGCAAAAACTCCCTAAAATGAGAGGCGCACGTTTAACAATGGTCTTTTTTGGGTTGAAAAAGATGATGATAAAAAAAGAATAGATATTAAGCCTTTCCCTGTCCCATAAATCATTATATTATGAACATTTCGATTGTTTAACTATTCTGTCTATTTCGTGGACAGGGAAACTATTAAAACAATACGCCACTAATCGATAACAATCTAGATTCATAGAATTATTAATAGTCACTATATGTAAGTAAGGAATCAATTGTAGAATTTAAATTCACATACCAAAAAAAAAACAAAGAGATTGCTATCGCACGCCTTTGACCGACACTGCCATATTTTGGAATTGGTGGGTTAACAACCTGTACATCAGATAGCATGCATGAACTATTTTGTTGTAGCATACACTTAAATTGCTTATGGTTTGTCCTTCCTTTTGAATCTTAGTGCTTAATAAATAGACAATCCCTGACATCTTCATATTAAGCTACCGCTGAGGATAATGGTTTTACGAACTTAACAAAAGAAAAGTATGTAAAATAAATACTTTGCTTATAATTTATTTAGTTGGTATTCGAAAAGGTCGTTTGGCCATGAACGATACTGTAACTCAATAGACTTAGAACCCAACAGGCAAACAAGTTCATTGGAATATGATGGTAAGTGTATGCTGTGACCCATAGACATCTATCCTCGATTAAGAATCATAATGAAGGTGCATTGTGCGTCGTTGTTATAGAAATGCCGTTTCCAGTAAATGATGCCTCGATGGATACGTTCCCATAAATATTTACGGATGAGAAAATCATAGGTTTTTTTATAATATTAAAGTGACAAACTAGTTAATAATACACCTCATGGTGCCTGCAAAACATGGACACCTACCGCTACACAAAGAAGGCCACAAATGTTTTGTCATTACTGGGTCTAAGATAAAGTGCCTTACAGCCTCTTATTATCCTGGTTCTAAACCGCAGTAGAAATAGTTACAAAGGTGTTACTAGCCCAGCCAGAACTCTAGGCGAAAAGAGCCCAAACGTCTTGTAGTGTATCACTTGTAGGTGTTCAGATTGTTTCAAATAATGTGGCACTCAACAGGGAATAAGGGAACCTTCAAATTGCTCTGCGAGTTTACTCTATCTCACAAACTTAACCACAGCAGAGTTCTGAAAATCAGTGTATGCTCTGAGCAATATTAATCGCTGAGCTAGGACCCATTTGTCAAACTGCAACACACATGTACATTTAGCATTTAAGTTTATGTATATTTTTTTTTTAGTTATAGGTTACTTTGTACTTAGTTTAATCACTGAATTTACGTGTGTGATTGGAGAAACAAATAAATGCTTTATCTATCTATCTATCTACTATTTGCGTCGTTTTAATTCTGGACCGGAAACATAAAACGAACTATGTAGCTGGGCAGACGTTATTCTGAACTTTCCAGTTTTTAATAAACATACACGTAATTTTTCTGCCGACTTCCAAAAAGGAGACGGTACTCAATTCGAGTGTATGTTATTTTTATGTGTGTTACCTCATAACTTTGTACTGGGGAAACCGATTTCGATGTTTCTTTTTTTATATGAAAGCTGATAGTTCTCGTGTGGTCCTATATGAATTTGATCAAGGTCAGACCAATGGTTATTGAGTTATTCTTAAATAACTTATATTGAAGTCGCTTATATTGAAGTCGGCTGTACAAAATTTTTAATTTTTAATTATTTACAGTAGCTTAATTATAAAATTTATTAATATCTACCACAGCATCACCTAACGCCGCCATATTTATTAATTTCTCTTTTAGCACTTAACTAATATATTATATAGTTAATATGAG